ACGTAGAGCACATTGCAGCAATCCAAGAACAGGGCATGAGTGACTGTCTGAAGGGCCTCCCGATCAAGGAAGAGGTGCAACTGGCACACAAGATGCACCCGTGCAAAGGCCCTCCTGGCCAGAACTGCCACCTGCTCTTCAGCCAACAGCTGTGAGTCCAGAAGGACCCCCAAGCTGCACACCAGTCTTGACTGGGGAAGTGCAGCCCCATCCAAGATGGTAACATCCCCGATCCAGGGGGTCCAAACACCTACAGCCACTCACTCTTGTTAGAATTGAGCCGAAGTCTGTTCTGCTCCATCCAGACCTGAACAGTTTCCAGACACTGGGTCAAGACATTGTGCCACTCAGGGTGGAGATTTAAGTTGGGTATCATCAGCATACCGATGATGCTGTACCCTGAACTGGCAGACAACCTCATCCAGTGGTTTCATGTAGATGTTGAACAGGAGAGGAGAGAGCATTGAGCCCTGATGTGAGGGGCTGTGGATGTGATCTCTCCCCCTGCCCATCAACACTGCTGAGGAAGGAGGCAAACCACTCAGCACAGTGCCTCCCACTCCTAATCTCAGAAGCCAGTCCAGAAGGATACTGTGGTCAATATTTTCTATATTCACTCTGCATCTGAAGACCTATTGCTGTGATGGACTGGAACTGTGGGGGCCAGAATCGGGGAGTGAAGAATGCTCTTTCATCTCCTGAAGCGCGGGGAAGAGATAAGAGGATGAGACTGGCACCTCCCTGAGGAATGCAGACTATGTTTACTGAGTGACCCTGGGAACTGGTTCCAGTCTGGGAAGATTCTTGATTGAGGTTGTAGCTAATAAACCTTGCTGGATTGAATCGGCATGGTCTCCTGGAGTTCCCTGGGCTAAACGTGACAATTGCATCTGTTCAAACATGCTGCTGAAGCAGTCACTGACCAAGGACATTCTGTGAGTTGTCCCCCTTATGTGATCAGAATCAGAATCTCTCCCTCCCCATCAACAGTGGCTGGAACCGACCGCTGAGGAAGGAGGCGAACCACTCAGCACAGCGCCTCCCACTCCCAGCCCCCGCAGTCGGTCCAGAAGGATACTGTGCTCAACAGCATCGAAAGCCGCTGAGAGATCAAGGAGCACCGGGATGGCTGCACCACCCCCATCCCGGCTCCACCAAAGGTCATCAGCGAGCGCAACCAGCACTGTCTCTGTACTGTACCCTGGTCTGATCTGTTTCCTCCGAGATCCTCTGTAGCTCTCGTCCAACCACCTTGTCCACAACCTTCCCCAGAAAGGGGGGATTGGAAACTGGCCAGTAATTCTCTAATAAGGAAGGGTCCAGAGATGACCTTTTGAGGAGGGGCATACCACCACCTCCTTCAAGGCTGGTGGGACCACCCCCTCTCTCAAAGAGGCCGAAACCACCGCATGAACCCACCCCGTGGTCACCCCCCGGCTGCTTTAATAACCCAGGAGGGGCCAGGATCTCACAAACGGGTGGCTGGACTGGCAGACAAAAGGACCTTGTCCACTTGCTCAGGCATAACAGAATCAAACTCAGTCCAAATAACATCACGAGACTGCTCCCTGGGCAACTCATTAGGGCTTGCCCAACTGGAGTCCAACTCCAAGTGAATCTGAGCGACTTTGTCGGCCAGTTAGTATGAATATTCCTCAGCGTGGCCCTGGAGATAATCCTGTGACCCTGACCCCCTCCCCAATTGGGAGGTCACCCTGAACAGGGTGTTGGGCAGCTATGGGCAGGTGCAATGAGGGTGGAGAAAAAGCAATGATTTGCCACTCTTATCGCCACAATGTACACCCGAATATGGGCTCCTACTCGTGTTCAGTCGGATTCACTCTTTCTCTCTCTCCAATGGAGCTCCAGGCATCGCTTCTGGAGTTTCATCTCTCGGAGCTCCTTGGAAAACCAAGGAGCACCTTGAGATCAGTGCACAGAGAAAAGTTGCACAGGAGCAATCTGGTCCAGGGCCTCCACCACATCCCTATTCTTCTTCTTCTTCTTTAAAAAAAATAGGTGACTGCGATTTCATAAATCCAGGATTTTGGTGTGTTGTGACTACATTGTAGTGTATCTATCCATAGTACAAGATCCTTGTGGAGTAGTTCTGAATATTTATCTAGCTCCTCAAATCTTCCTTCCTCTTGCTTCCCTTCACCAGAGCAATACAGAAATGAGTGCTTTCTCCTGTTTTCTAAGGAACTGGTATATTAGAAAACAGAATCTACGGATGTACTGCTCCCTCTAACTAGACCATGTATTGTTACACTGTCAAAGGAAACTAGAGAATTGTTTATTTAACAGGCTTATATTCTGCCTTTCCCTTCAAAATAACGCTCAAAGCAGCTAACAGATCTGGGAACTGTCTTTTAACTGACCAGAAGCAGTTCTCTCTCGTCAGAAGTCAGTTTGCTTCCCTTCATCCCATAAAAAGTTGGGAGAGGATAATCAGCTCTCAAGTGACATCACTATGTCACCAGAAGATTTCCTGTACCTGCCAACTAGTTAGGAGGCTAAATTGCCACCCCCACCTGGAAAATGCAGCCAATACCTGCTCTAGATAATGCTCATAGCATCTGCAAAGTGAAGGGAGGCTGAAGGTCAGCCACAAAACCTCTGTTGTCGGCAGAAGGCCTCAAGTTCACTTCTGGCCCCTCTGGCTTGGCCTGAGCAATCTCCCCACTGTCCATCTGTCATAGCTCTCAGATAGAGAAGGCCTGACTTGTTACAAAGCAGCTTTCCTCTGAATGTGAGACCCTTTTTGTAACAAATCATGTCTAGATGTCCAATGTATGAAGAAGAGGTGTTGCCAGGAAGATGTGTGGCACTAAATGATAGCATGTATAGCAGAAAAATGGACAAGTGTGATGCAGTAGGATGCACAAATTGTCATCGCACCCTGTATTGCTGCTTTGCCCACCCTCTGGAAAAAATGTAGTTGCCCCCAAAAGCAGCTTTTAAGTAAGAGGAAGACGGTCCCTGATGGGTGTAAGGAGAACCCTGAGTCTAAACCAGACCAAAGAGCCATCAAGTGCCTCTGGAGACTAACACACACACAGCAGGTTCCTTGCTCAGACAGAAGCAGCAGAAACTGGCACCTAAACCTGAAGGACTGATTAGCGCAGCCACTGGTAATGGTACCGACCTACTCAGAAAAGGCCAGACAGCTCTCAAGCCCCAGTACGGTTTGCTGACAAACAACTGTGCGCTTTTCAGTAGGAGCTCCGGTAACAGAAGCTGCATTAAGCCTTTCAGAAGACTGTAAGAAAATCTAGGCTTCACCCACCCTAGCAGTGCAGTTATGTTACTGCTTCACCCACTGTGGCCACTTGATGGTTGAAAACGAAAATTTGGGGAAGTGAGGCTCTGGTGATGCAAAGGCTGCAGTGCCCAACCCTCATCCAGGCATCATTACAGCTCCCCTACTGGGCAGGTATATGGCAACCCAAGTGTGATGTCACCATGCAAACACTGCAACTTACACGCTTACATCAGACAGTGGGACACAAGTACATAGTAGTGTCTCTTGCAGGATAACACCACTGGGAGGCATCACCATTTTGGTGTCATCGTGGTTTGCTACAGGTCCTGCTGTTCCACCCATCTTCAATCTGTGACCATCTGTATTTTATCCACAGGGTGGATTCTTACCTCTGTAACGATAAGCAGCATAAGCAGCAGCGCAGCTCCCTTCTCCATGTTAATCTGCTCTGTTCACAGCCCGTTGGAATATAAACTACACAGAAAAAAAAAATTAGTATCTTCCAAGAGCCCGCATTTCTTCCCCTCCGACACAAGATACATCTCTTCTGTTTCAAGACAGCTTCTGACTTTCTCATAAAGAGCTGCAGACCCCCTGCTTTAACACCGTAAGACTTGGTTAGGAATCACATGGGAAACCACCAGGACGTCCTGAGGCTTCACGCTGAACTGAAGTTAAAAAATGATATGGGAAGAAGGGAACAGCAAATCACTTCTGCCACACTGCTCAGAAGAAATTCATTTAGTTGCCCACGAGTCAAATATCATTCGAAGGAGACTTTGTATTTTAATGTTTAAGCAACTTGAATATCAAAGTCAGCTAACTACCAGCTTGAAGGAGACTTGAAAACAAAACTCAGATACAGAGGGATGTGTGTTAATTATCCTTGCTCAGGACTCAGTTATTAAGCTCATTCAAGGAGAATGTACCCTACTGACATTTGCTAAATCTAAAGGACATACTTTTATTAAGTTCATATGTATATTAGATCAGTGTGTTTCAAAATATGGTCTGAGGACCCTCTCAAAATATGGTCCCTCAAGACCCTCCCAGGGGTCCGTGGAATCAAAATTATTTGCCAGCCTATGTTGAAAAATAATACAATATTAAGATCCCATCAAACATTCACGAGAAGAGGCAGCAGCAATGGCAGAGGAGCAGTGAAGCCCTGCCTGGACCTATCCAAGAGTCATCGGCGGATTGCTGAGCTGGCTGCAGGCAGCAGCATCTCAGCATCAGGAGCATGGCATCGTGTGGAGCGGTATGGCAAGCGGGTGGTGGAGCCTGGTGGGACCATGGACTGGCTGGTTTTGGTGCAGGTGGCAGTGTTTGGCCGGCCCCTGAAGATGCAGCAGCATTGCGAGCCAGAAATTGAGTGGACCGCAGCCTGCTCCCATCCTCCATTTTACAGCCCACTCAGGAACAGGATGGCAGTTGGCTGGGCCAGCTGCCTGTGGCTACGGCCCTGGGAGTAGGAGTTCTGGCTGACTGGAGGACTTGGATGTCCAGGGGGATGGCAGGAGCAGGAGGGGGCGGTAGTGCTGCAGAGAACCGACCTACATCCTGCGGCTGCCACCTGGCTAGCCACCTGGTCCAGCAGCCATCTTGCTAGCTTCCTTCTTTGTGGGATTCAGGACTTGGATGGACTGTTTTGATTTGACTGTGGTGGCCGACGGCTTGAAGGGAAGACCTGGACTAGCGAGGATATTGTGGGGTTTCGACTGTTTTGTTGGAGTGTGGCCAACAGAAATGTGTCAACATTTGGAAGATCAACAGAATTCCGGGAACGAGTATTTTCCAGATGAGCAAAGCATGATCTTACAAAAACACGAATGGGTAAAAGACCACTGAGTTTTAATGTAACTGAATACAAAAAGTTCAGATTCCACATTGCAACTTACCTTTGAGAAACTATAACGTATCAAGTTTTGGTGTAGTATCGAAGAAGAATATCCACAATTATCTGAGAATTATCTGTCAAAATACTTCTCCCTTTTCCAAGTGCGTATCTGTGTGAAGCTGGAATTTCTTCATATGCCTCAATGAAAACATCCTGCAGTAGATTAAATGTAGAACCAGATATGAGAATCCAACTGTCTTCTATTAAGCCAGATACTGAAGATATTTGCAAAAATTTGCAATGTCACTCTTCTCATTAATTTTTTATTTATTAAATATATAGTTTTTTTCATGAAAATATTTTATTTATGTTAATATCAAATAGGTTTAATATTGTTATTCTTACATGATGCAATAAATACATATTCTATGAATGGGTCAATTTTAATTTTTAATATGGTAAATATTGATAAATATTACCCATACAAACAAAAGCTCTTGTGGGGTCCTCCATAATTTTTAAAAGTGGGAAGGGGTCCTGAGAGAAAAAGTTTAAGAAACATTGCATTAGATTATAGGAAGCCAGAGGTTTAAAAAAAATCACCGAAGGGAAGGTTCCAAAAAGGTCCTGCTTCCAAAAAGGTTGCCAAGAAAGCTGCTTGGACCTGTCCATGGAGTCAGCAGGAGTCAAGACTGACTCAAGGGGCTATGATGTGACCACAATAAAGAGCTTGTTCCAGATAAAGAAGATTCTCAGCTTTTAAATAATTATTTTATATAAATGTATGTATTTAGCATATTTATATAGCCACCCATCTACCAAAGCACTTGAAAAAGAAATATGTTTTTTAAAAAGTATACGTGAGAATAAAAAGAAAAGGGAAAGAGGAAAACCTATACTAAACTATCTCTGGAGAAAAACAAAATATATTAATATTGCATAACTTTCTTCACTTTCGACATTATGATTGTTCAATATTTAAAGATTAAAAGGAATTCAGGCCATCCAGAAGTACATTATCCAGTCTTGCCTCTCCTTCAGTATCAAAGTATTTGAAAGCTGAGAGTTGACAAATTTCATTCAGCCAACCCCTGGAATCTGGGAGACAAGCATGGCTCCATGAGTCAACAAAAAGGTCAGGCAGGATATACCGGGTGACCCCAACAGCTGAGCCCTCTTCTGCCTCCATAAGGCCAGTAAGTGGTGCTGAGAGGACAACCTGTTAAGGGAAGTGACTGCAGATTTCTGGCATCTCACACCAGACAACACTGGCTGGCCGGCAGGAACCACCTGAAATGATGTGGGAATGACCTTGGGAGACAGGGAAAAGAGATGCAGCCAAGGGGCGATCAGATAAAAGGCAGCTCAGCCCACAGCAGGAATGTGGGGGGGGCAAGCAGCTCTCATGGGACCCTCCCTAGTTTCTTGGGCTGAAAAAGGGACTGTGGGGGACGTAAACTAGCAAGATTCTGTTACTATAACTTTACAATAAAGTAGAATTAGCTCATCTGGCAGTGCTTCCTGTCTGGTCTACTTGCAAGGCTGACATCAATCTTGCAAGTCTGAAAGTACATTTCACACACACACACACACACACACACACACACAGCCTACTGGCAAGGTTAGGCTTAGTCAACTGTGAATCTAATTGTAGACTATCCATAATAAGGACACAGAGACGGAAAACCTCTAGAAGGGTAACAGTTATGCCACTCTGTATGGCCTAAGGGCAGTGTTTGTACTTGTTCTGCACTTGGTCAATCGGTACCACCTGTTGCCAACCTGCCTGACGTCGCAGCTCAGCCTTCCCCCACTTACCGGCCTCTGACAGACTGAGCTGCGGCTCTTACCATTCCCAGCCACCAACGGCCACGCTGGTTGGGGAAGGACGAGTTTCCCATACACAAAGTGAGAGAGAGAGACAGGCGTGATATTGAATGATCCCCTCCTGAATACACTCTCTCCTTCCCTGCCCCTTTCTCACGTGCACACGCTCTGGATATTGCCAGAGCCACCCGGAGTCACCAAGCGAAGGGCTTTCTGTCTTTCTCTCCTGCCTGAATGTTTTGGGAGCCACAAAAAAGGCAGGAGAAAACCTGGAAATCTTCGAGGACGCTGCTGGGCGCCGGCCTGTCCAGGCGCTCCCAGGCACTTTCCGCGGACGCGGAAGAGAAATCGCGCCCCCAAAGGCACAGCTGCGCTTTCCACGCTGCTCGAATTAACGGAGCAGAAGCGGCGAGGGGACTCGCCTCTTGGCGCGGACTCCTGAG